TCTATCTATCTTCCCTCCTTCTCACATTATTATCTCTCATCATCTCACAAAGTTCACATTTTTTAAAATTCCGAAATTACAATTATTAGGTACTTTTCCCTTAGATCTTGGAGAGGTTTTAAACAGTACTTCAATTTACAGACACCTACAGTTTGACCAGCAGAGGGCATCCGGCATTTTCCTGAATATAACAATATAGTTATTATAATAATTTAGCTATTTTTAATTGCCATTTTTTACATGAGCAGAAATTGTACTGCTGAAATCAACAGGACTGGAAAGTGCTTGAATATTTCATAGTGGCCCTGATCCAGATGTAATCATATTAAAAATGAAATACCAGTAATTCTTCACTAGTTTTGCATCTTGATCCCATTTACAAAGAATTAGAATAGAATAAAATTCTTTATTGGCCAAGTGTGATTGGACACCCAAGGAATTTGTCTTTGCTGCATATGCTCTCAGTGTACATAAAGAAAAAATAAAATACATTCATCAAGAATCATAAGATACAACACTTAGTGATAGTCATAGGTTACTAATAAGCAATCAGATCATACTAGGAAACAAAATATAAATTACACATTAAATGTAGTTTTTCTCTGAGACTAGCAAAAAGATGTGTTAAGGTATGACAACCCCAGCACCATCTGCTATGGATATGATGTATAAAGTACATCAATATATTTCTGTGCAGTCTAGAATATAATTGCAGAGGATGGTGGGGGAGATCCTAATTTTCTGTTTATAAAGCATGCAGACATTTTCAAGTGAGAACATGGCAAGAGAGGAAACAGAACACTTTAGTCTCTTGATTCCTCCATTACTGGTTTCCTCATGAAGCACAAATGACTATGACATAGGAAAAAATACATTGCAGGATCCAATCTGGGTCGGTCACTGGGACCAATGGGTTTAGTCTTCTGAGCTCCAGATCGGATTTGTGCTGGATCTCAGGGAATTTCTGTACTGGACTATGTAGAGAATGTGTAGAGATGCATGTATATTTGCCTTCATTTGTGAGGGGAAAAATGTGCCCACGCTTGAAATCACTAGTTTCTTCCACAATTGTAGAAGATTTAATGAAAATGTCATTCTGGCACTCTCACCTATCGTGGTCCCTTGATTTTGGATGTTATGATACTGAATACATTTTATTTACATCTAAATAAGACAGGAATAGAAGTTATACAGTACAATGCTTAGCTGTGGCAGCATTATACTGTGTTTCATGTCTGTTCCTGGTCATACTTAAATAACCATTTATAATAGAATTAAGGTTACGTAAAGGCCTTAAATATGAATCTCAAATAGAGCTCTTCGATGCTCTAGAATGCACACTATATTGGCTCTTTCCAAGTAATGACTAGAAGAGGATCTGTAATCATGTTACCTTTAGCTCAACCTGGGACAGGGTGGTACATAGAAAGCCGTGTGGTTAGTGTTGTCACACAAGCTTAGGGACATCCAGTAATCGGCTGCAGGTCTTCTGCTTGGGCGAGTCGACTCTGAATGTTCTTGTGAAGTGAAAATAATGAAATAGGCAGACGTCTTTGCTTCATGGATCCTTAATGGTCCTTCTAATTACTTGCTTCTCTTCATCCACGTTCCCCCATTCCTTAGGAATTATTTTTGCTCTGCCATTAGTGAAATGGCTAATGCCTTGCTCATAAATTTTTTAATGTGCATTAGATGGAGGGCTTTTTGCTTTAGACTGAAAGCACTTACACTTTCCCCCAAGCTGCTTTCTGTGAGATACAGCATGAATGTACAATGGGATTGGAAGAGACAGCTTATTGGTATTATGCTATCAACTCTGGAAAGTGTAATTATAAAATATGCTCAAACTGAATTAAGTTTAGGAGCTAGTTTGTAGTTGTCTAATGCACAGACTTATACAATTAAATGGATTTGCTTTCTAAAATGACTTGATATTCACTGAACTGATGGTGTTACATATTGTTCAAAAACAAGGCCTTATTCCAACTTTCTTCCTCATACTGTTCATTAATGGATTTAAATAACTGAATATTTGCCCATGCATATTTTAATAAAAGAACCCCCAGAAATTCAGTGAGGACTGGTTTAGAATAGGACAGTAGAGAAAAAGATGTGAGTTAAATTTTTCAACAATATTGAGAACCATCAACAGATTAAGCAGCAGCAGAATGGATGCACCGCTACTATCCTGCTTCCATCACAGAATCATTTACAATCGTGAACGTTGCCTCAGTACTAAATCCCAGTCTGAAAGCTTACTAAAATGAATGTAGATTCCTCCATTCTCATCAGCTGCAAGCTGACTACCTTCTCAACTATTCCCCCCCCCCCAAAAAAAAAGTTACATTGAGATTTGTCAATAGTTATCAAACACAATTGGTGGTCCAAGGACAGCATCTTGAGAAAGGGGCATACAACATTTCAAGGCAGGATGCAAAACTTCATCAAAAAGGCTGACCTTGCAGCATGGACCCATCTGTGGGTTATTTCCCTATAGCTGCATTCATGATCCAGAAGAGGCCCAATCACACAACCAGTTCATGCTCTGGGTATCTCACCTTAGCTCCGCCTGGCCAATTACAGCCCAAGGCTAGTGGATCTGAGTTATTTTATCTGCAGAGAGCCTGAATATACCCACAGAGCCCAACATGATTTGAGTGTGCAAGGTCTCTGGACAGCTATCAGTGAACACAAGGGAGAACTATTGGCGTTTGCTGCCCCTATAGTCAAGAGATACTCCCTTATATTTCACCCATGCCTGACCAGTCACTTTTGTGTCTTCTTCTTGATGGTCTCCAAGCATCGTTCATGCTTGCTTCAGTTAGAACATTGGAAGAAAAAGGAATGTAGGTCCATCAAATATACTTTATCTTTTGATCTGAAAATATATCTAGGGGAAAGGCAGCATTTGGGTAGGCAAATGGTCTCCTACCTTCTGGATAAAAATTGTAAAACTTTTGTCTTTGTGATCTGTTTAATGACAACTACCAGACTGGGATTGCACAAATCCATATCACCTCTAGATAACAACAAAAAAAAGGGGGAAACTCACACTTTGCTGCTAAGGAGGGCTTAGATTTCTCCTGTTCAGATGGTAACCCTAGCTTTAATGTCCTCTTTCCTCTATAAATAAAAACTCATATGACTCTTTTTAAAGAGTTTTATTAACATTCGTATTTTTTTAAAAAATAATGAAGCATACTAAGTATTTTAACAAGGAGAGAAGAACTGAATCAATGTAATTTTCTTACACTTCCAAATCTAGAAATTATTGAAGCCTTAATAAGTCTTCTGTTTCTCTTATCACCACCACAGGTAAGCTTCATTGCAAACTCCTTCCAAGAGAGCTAATTAGATACATTAAGGTATTACCATTAGATACATTAAAGTATTAGTTCACACATTTTTTCCCCATTTGTCCAAGTATATTTTTCTTTGGGGAAAAATCAAGCAGAATTAAAACCATTTACAAAAGTAAGTTTTAGATTGTTTAAATTCTTCATAGAAACAGTGGAATATTTTATTCATGTTTATTTCTATGCTGAATGATTGACATCCCTATTCTATGTACAGATTCACATTAAAATAACCCCTGTGAGTGCAAAATAATCTTGTCTCACTAGGGCTGCACAAACTTATTAAACGGAACATCACATACACACAAAAAAAACTACTTGCTTTTAAACTCTCAGACTCTTTTATCTCTTGACCATGGTAACCAAGTCTTGTGAAAGTATGATCCTAGCATACGGTAAGTGGCCTGATTTGCAGGGGTGTAATATGGACTCTTTCAGTCCTGCTCTTTAGTGGCTGACTTGGTTGGACCGAGATAACATTAACAACTACCTCCTTGGCAAGTTGATTGAACAGTGTACAAAAGTAGTTATCAGCTATAAACTTTGATAAAGGCATTTTGGTTTTCTGAACAAGGTTCCTTACACAGCCTAAGGGTGTCTTCCTCCATCTGACTGTATCCTGTAGTTTATTTAGCAGGCTGACCTAGGCTGTTAATTTAAGAACTATATCACTTTTGGTTAGAATTTTCTTCAATGTAGTTCCTTAAAATGGCTCTTGTTGCAAAGTTACCTCAATCCTCATATGTCCTCAAGGTGCAATATTTGGCAGACTACTCATTCCAAGTTAAGCTAGTCGAAACTAGAAAAGCCCTTGCATCAGGATAACGCATTATCTATCAGACACGGCAACAAGGGTTCCTAGCTTATCTTTTCTTAATGCACTTCTCCTATCTCTAGTTTTAGGTTAGGGTTCTTGTCCCTTTGACTCCTGACACACAGCATATACAGGCATTTCTTTTACAAGTGGTGTGTGTGTGTGTGTGTGTGTGTGTATACATACATATAACAGCCATCATTTCATTAGTGCAAACTACCTCTTTATTAGGTCCTCACACACATTGTGGTAACGCCCCTGAAAAGTTCAGAGTAAAATACCCTCCAAATTGTTAAAGGTCAAGTGCAGAAACGAACATACAGAAAGCAGAGCAATGAATTGCAGAAAAGTTGGTTTTCTGTCCAGATTTTAAAACATTCATATAGCCACCCACCTTACAACAAAATCTGGGCTGATCTCAATCAAGAATTAAAACAATATCAGTAATAATAAAATAACATAAAAACATATTAAAACTATAAACATTAAAAAATTAAAAACAAGTGTTCACCTAGAGAAAAGGATGTATTTAAGCACATATTTATAAAGACCACACAAAATGTCTTGAAAAATGGAATTGGAAAGAAATAAGTTGTAGGCTTTGGTTTATCTTTTGCTACAAGGCAAGGCAAAAAACCACCACAAGGGCCTATCGTTGTGCATAGAACTGTACATCCGTTACATTGGAACCATAGAATATAGAATTCAAGGCACACAAAACATTCTTATTTTCATAAAGGGAAAGGGTATCTATCTGCACATGTAGCATTTGTTTAATAAATGCCATGGAGCACATTTCCTCTTGTATATGAAAAAGGAAACACACTTGTTTTTGTTTTTTTTAAAAGAGATGTATATATCACTAATTCCAGAGATGTATATTCACTATCTTTTAAAAGAGCTAACTTAGCAATAAACCAATATTTTCCCTTGCAATCTCTGATGGCATTCCTCTGAGTTTTCAGAAGTGGATGTTAGTTATCTCTCTGGTGCGTTTCATTAAAGAAAACATTTTAAGAAATGCTACAAATCAAATCATAAAAAATTGGATGTGTTTTTGGCACCTCAAAGGCTAACAAATTTTACTAGTCTTTCCAATGCCACAAAATGCTTTGGCTTCTTACTAAAAATCAGCCAGATCTCTTTGGAAACTCTATTGAAATCAGAAGGTTTTTATAACATTACTTTTCTAAAGTTTATTAAGGTCTGACAAAATATGGTGTTTACTCTTGTTGAATTGCTCCATGCTACAAGTACCATCAGAAAAAGCCATGCACAGCAAAGAATCATGAGCAGGAAGTTGATGGTATGCATGGATAGCAGAAATCATGAATACAGTGCTATGGAATCAGACAAGAATAAACCATGATGGATATTCCAGTTCAAGAATGAGTAAAGCATTCTGACCATGAATAAGACCTTAGATTACAATGTATTTTGAATACAAATATAGAAAATGCTTAGTAGTACCTCTTTTGAAAAAATATTAAGCCTAACTTAAATAATAATAAAAAACACCAAAAAACACATTATGCAACAAACACACTTCCATTTGTGAATCTGGGATAGTTAATGGACAGTAGGGCCCTGAAACTTCCATTTAGCCCTTGAACTGAGGTTAACCTGTTCCAGTGTATACAGCAAAATCTAAGAAAAATAAAATCTGGCAATAACTTGTTGCTATTCTTTTGTTGTAGCTACAGAAAATACAAAAGTCAAGCTTTAAAAGTGAATATAGTAAATGAATCCAAATCTAATTTGTAACTTTGATCAAGATGAAGAACCCTGGGGTTTCCAATGCAGCGAGGCAAGCCAATACCTACCGAGTCCCTACTCTGTGTGGATGGAGGGGCATTTGGGTTGAAAAGGCACTTAGCGGTGAGACCCAGACTGGCCAAATTCTCTCCAGAAGAGAGAGAGATTGCCCGTATGTATTTCAATCAGCTGAATTTCTGTAGAAACTCTCGTTTTTGTAGCTGCTTCCAAGCAGCTGGGAGTTCTGGTTTCTACCCTCCTTTGAGCCTCAAACTTAGGGACTCAAGGCTTGATCAAACCTCATGTTTTTAATCACACTGGAGTTTTTACTGCCTCTTTTAAGATTGAAAATACTTCTGAACAACAAAGATTATAGTTGCTGGATAAATGTCATTTCAGCCTGTTTAAAAGAAACAATATTTTTTTCGGCATTTGTAAGTTGTCTATTTTTTATTTTTATTTTTGGTAACTTTTTGCAATATACACGGAAGGACTGGTTTTAGAGTTATTTTGAAACAGCTTTAATGGCCAAGGCTTCAAATTGATTTAAGAAAGAAAGATTTCAAAACTAAGTAGAAAGACCTCATGTGGGGAAAAATCTGATTTGTTTACATTTTAAAGCAAAACAAGTACATGATGGCTATTTTAAACTGAGTTGTTTTTTTTTTTTAATCTATAGGCTCTGAAATGCTTGAGCTGCTTTAATTCTTTCCTGGAAAAAATGTTAGTGAAGATGAACTCTTTTAAAGACAGCTGAAAAGGAGTTTAAGGTGGATCTGAAAATTACAACTCTGAGGAGGAGAGAGAGAAGGACGGAGAGAGTTGGAAATACTGAATTTACAAATGAATTTGGATGATCATTTAAAAAAAAAACTTTCATACAAAAATACATTCAAAATGATATGGACTGTCTTTTTAAATTGAAATCCAGAACAGTCACTCAAATCACTTCATGGAAAATACAAATGGACTATAATAACTTCAAAAGAAGAGGCAAAGAGACTACAGGAAAACAGGAGTTAGAACTTTATTTATCGGATTCAAAGATGACTGGGAGGAAAAAGGAAAAAAAATACAAAATTGGTTTATTTGTCTATGATTAAATATCAAGTTGCTATTTTTGGTGATGCTAATTGTTTGTAAACAAACTAAATATTGTAATATTTACATTGCCATTTTTGGAAATCTAAATTAGGATTTGTTATTTGTGATAAAAGTTCAATAGCTTTCAATCTTATTATTCTTATCTTTGTAATAATGCTCAAGAGAGGGATGAGGGGAATTTAGCCTAAATAGAAAGAGGGATTATATATTTATGTCCTTGGTTATTTTTGTTAATTTTACTGGACCTTTGTTGGGGAATGGAAGCTGAAAATTTAAAAATAAGTTTATAGAAAATGGGGTGAGGTATGGAATAAAGAGATATCTGGTTGTAATTTAAAAGACAGCAATAAATTGTCAATTTGAATAAGCTTATTGGGTATGAAAGGAGAAATTTCCTTTTTTTACTATTTTGTTTTGAGAGGAATATAATAATGTATGTATGTATGTACTTATATGTTTCTCTGTAGTTTTATCTGTTTAACATACTGTAATTCTTAATACATTTGTTTTAAAAGATGGAAGGAATCTTTGAGAGCTTTTATTGAAAATCAGAATGGCCCCAAAAGATCTGAAGGATAATAAAAAGGATCAGAGCAGATGGCAATATCTCACTAACCTTGGTTGACTTCAGAAACGGTAAGCAAGTTTGGGCCTGCTCATACTTGGATCAGAAATCCCGGGTCTCCTCATTCTGTTGCCAAAAGTTTAACTTGACTCAAAGTAACCTTTAACTTTGAAAATATAATATTTTTAACACCATAAGCTATCAACATACTTTATTTTCAATAAGTTATATTTCAAGTAATTCTCTGGCCCTCTGCTATCTTACTTCATTTGGGTAAATGGCACAGGATATCAGAATTATTCCATGCACCATACTTCAAGTCACGTGCAAATCTCAGGTCACAAAAAGTGCAAAGTTTGAATGTTTTTAAAGATCCCCTCCCCCCACAAACTTGAAAAAAAAGGGAAGGTGTCAACAAACCCCAAGAATGGAAGTCAATAGCATCTTTGGAAGATGTTCAGGAGCTGATTTGAAAATTGGTTTCAGTACGCCAAGCAGAAAACGGTTATTAATCGTCATTTCTAGAAAACATGGTGTCAGTTTCATCATCATACATTCCCCTCTCATAGCGAACAGAAGCCAATCCAATTGAGCGTAGTTGCATCTTTCTATACAGGACGTATCCTAATCCAACAAGAAGGGCGATAACAAATATAACACCAAATGCTATTGCCCCTCTTGAATGATGAGAGACTAAGAAAAAAGAAACAAAAAAAAAAGTTATTGAACTAGAGTACTGGAACTACAAGCCACATATGATTATGGTCATTTTTATTATCTTAATTCATATCCTATCTTTTTACCCAGGGGGTGATCAAAGTCAGTCACAACATAAAAGTGTTGAATGAACAAAGTAAATAAATATAGTTACCTACCCTTTTAAATCAAATTAAATATGAAGATTATCCTATCATTTAAATGCATGACTGAAGAAAAATCAGGGTCCTGAACTACATAGCTTCCTCGCAGCAGCTGGCTGCTTTCTTAACCACTAACATACTGAGGCTAGATATGAATAGTTTTGTTTTTCTCTGTCTCAATCATAGAGAAGAGAAACACTTCTACTATCTACTTCTACTGTCAAGAGAAACAAGCAACCCTTCTACTGCATTATAGTGCAGTGGCCCTCAACTGTTTGGGCACCAGGTACCTGTTATACAGTGCTGTAAAAAGGTTACTCTATTGTGGAATAAGCAATTCCCATTATCCTCAGTCACAGTAAAAGATGACGACGACAATGATTAGATTTTTATTCCACCTTACCTGCAAGCCATAGTCTAAAATATCTGAAAAGGACCCGATAGCTTATCTTCATCTGACTAAACTAAATCATCATTTACATACCTTGAGGAATTTTGCAAACAACTCTGCTTTGTTCATTGTTGCAGTCTGCTTTGGACCATGTTCCATTGGCTGAAAAGATAACACTGCACTGACCATTAGCCTTTTCAGTTTCATTGGCCCAATTTGTATATTTAACGTCAGAGCCATCAAGCCAGTTCAAGGACTTATCTGTAAATAAAAACCAAAATCATTTCTTCTTTAATTTATGAACAAAATGTCTCTCTCTCTCTCTGTATGTATGTGTGTATGTATGTGTGTGTGTGTGTGTGTGTGTGTGTGTGTGTGTGTGTGTGTGTATTTTCTGAGGTTCTCGCGGGTATTTGTATGTGGATCTTTGGTTATTCGGGTTTTCTCCCGCGTAAGATTGGCAGTATCTAGGCAACGTTTCGATGAAGTCTCATTCATCATCTTCAGGCTTCTTTCTTCGGCTCTGTGCTTCTCAGAGTGATGTGAGATTGCAGCTGCTTCTTCCTTTTAACTGCTAGTGGGGGTGTGACTTGATTGGGTGGGGGCTTGGCTGTGTTCTGATTGGTTGGGGGGTTGGCTGTGTTCTGATTGGCTGGAGGCGTGTTCTGTTCAGGTGGGGGCTTGGTTGTGCTCAGGTTAGTCTTAGTTGCTGGGGGATTTGAGTTGGTGAGCTGTGATCTTGCTGTTTGGCTTCGAGTTCCTGGTCGTGCTGCATCTTCATAGTGGTGTCGGTTTGCTTCATGTATGGCTCGGAGGGGTTTGAAGTGGGTAGTGATGCAGCTGCAGTGCGGCTTCTGGTCCATGGTCGTGTCTCATCTTCTGAGTGGGTGTGAGTCTGTTTTCTACATGGAAGTGTGGTGGTGGCATCTTATGTGGCTCTCATGGGTGTGGGTCTGGTGTCATTCTTCATGTTAGGTACTCGTCTGTTCATGAGGGCGGGTTTCCAAATGGCTGGAAGGCGGGAGGTGTCATCTCATTTATTCATGCTGTGTGGGCGTTTTTCTATCTCTATGGCTTCTCTGATTATTCTGCTGTTGAAGTGTTCGGTTTTGGCAATAGTTCTGGTATTTTTAAAGTCAATCTCATGTCCTGTGGCTTTGAGGTGTTGGACCAGGGAAGAGGTCGTTTCTTCTTTTTTGATTGACTTCTTATGTTCTTCAATGCGTGCACTTATTCTTCTGTTAGTTTGTCCAATGTATGTGGTGGGGCAGGCAGTGCAGGGGATTTCGTATACTCCTTGGTTTTCTAATTCGATTTTGTCTTTGGGGTAATATATATATATATATTTGGGTATTTTCCCACATCATTATAGTTGTGCTTTTAAAGTTGTAGCTACAACTTTAAAAGCACAACTATAATGACGTAGGAAAATACCCTAACAAAGCTGAATACCATACATGTAAGTACCTGCGAAAACTTAAGAAAACATACACACACACACACACAATTTATTCTATATTTGGCTATCAAGAGTTTGATGTGTACTAAATAGTCAGAGCTGTACTCTGGCTCAATATCTAAAAACTGTCTTAACACTTTATCAATTTGCAATTTGCCATGTTCACAATTCAAAGCAGAGTTGAATTGTTCCCCTAAATTACAGGCCTTTAATAATGCTTTTAATTAATAATGCCTTTATTAAACTAAAAACTAGGTCAGGCAACGAGGAAAGAATCATACCAATCTTGTAAAGACACACTCTGTTTATTCCAAGAAACATCAAAACATCAGCCTGCATAGAGCTAAGTGCATATTCCCTGAGTTGCTTGTGTGGTTGGTGGTAGGAAATCTTAGGGGAAGATTTCCTGATTAGCAGCTGAGGCCAAATAACAGACACAACAAAACATGCCTTAGAGACTTCTTTGTGCAACTTCTGTCACAACTTCAATGCGAGGACTAAGGAAAGCTCACATTACCATTATGGTAAAGCAGGCTTGCCAGCTGTAATCATTACCCCAGGCCCCCAACAATTTTTAGGGTGCGCTGCCACAAAATAAAGGCAGTTGTCACTTCGCAGTAGATATAAGATATTCTTTATGTATTAAAGTGGTGTATGCTCTTAAAATGTTTTAGACCAAGTTTTAGACCTTGTGCAAGTACAGTACTTCACTGTCATTGGTTGAAGTGTGTCGATTTTTTTCAGGCTTCCCCAGAAGTCTGAAACTAGATACAACTGCTTTAATGAACTGAATAATTAAAGCAGCATGTCTTTTAATTATTGCCTTATTTAATTGCCATAATCAGACTGAATTATTATTTAACATGGTTCTTTTTTCACACTTGTTTGTAAATGTGTGTGGGGGGGGAGGGGGGAGACAGAGAGAGTGTGTATTTTAATAAACTGCAGGGAGATGCTGTGCTTATTCTTACATAAGGCCCAACATACTTCTTTCAAAAAATACCCGGTATTTCAAGTGTGCTCAGCTCTATTGTGTAGTTACTTAACATTAGTCTGCCTGCTTGAGTGTAACTGCTCTGGTAGTTCATTTGAAAACTGTCCTCCACAAGATTTTATTGAGCTATTATGAAACAAAAAAAAAGAACCAAAGAAATTACCTTAGCTAGCACAAAAGAACATTACTTTAGTCCAAAATAGGAAGAAGTATTAGAAAAAACCCTCAATTTTCAAGAGGGAAAGAAAATGCAGTCAGGCTTTCAGGATTTGCTACTATACCCTAAATCAGGGGTCTTCAAACTTGACAGCTTTAAGACTTGTGGACTTCAACTCCCAGAATTCCTCCTTCACTCATGTTAGCTCAGGAATTCTGGGAGTTGAAGTCCACAAGTCTTAAAGCTGTCAAGTATGAAGACCCCTGCCCTAAATCAATAGAGTCCCAGGATTACTTATGGGGTCTGCTTCCAACCTTGGCCTACTCTGGAGGGCTGACAGAAACCTATTCTTCATCATTCATATTGTACCCATACTGATTGTCTTGGTATCTCTAGAGCAGAGATGGTGAACGTATGACATGTCTGTCAAAGCTAACATGCTACGATGTTTGGGATGACACACCAGCATTCACCAATACCCAACAACTATTCTCAAAAACAAGGCCTGTTCTCATACAAGTTTTGGACATGGAATATGCTCTTAGGTGCCCCCCAGCAGTAACACAAAAACAGGACATGCTTTTGTGTTGTTTCTCTGTGGAAGAACATTTTCCAAAGTCACTTTGAAGGCTTTGTGTGACCTGGAAGCCAATCTCAGGAGGGCCAAGGACACAAAGAGAACACTGCCTAAAAATGCAGTCCATTTCACATACACACTGAGAAAAAAAATCAGCTTTAGTGTAAGCCAGTTTCCTTGTTGTCCATGAATACAAATATATTCTAGACGTTTTTACCTGAAACTTCTTCACGTACTACAGGTGAAACTCAAAAAATTAGAATATTGTGCAAAAGTTCATTTATTTCAGTAATGCAACGTAAAAGATGAAACCAATATATGAGATAGACTCATTACATGCAAAGCAAGATGGTTCAAGCCGTGATTTGTCATAATTGAGATGATTATGGCTTACAGCTCATGAAAACCCCAAATCCACAATCTCAGAAAATTAGAACATTGTGAAAAGGTTCAATATTCTAGGCTCAAAGTGTCCCACTCTAATCAGCTAATGAAGCCATAACACCTGCAAAGGATTCCTGAGCCTTTAAATGGTCTCTCAGTCTGGTTCAGTAGGAATCACAATCATGGGAAAGACTGCTGACCTGACAGTTGTGCAGAAAACCATCCTTGACACTCTCCATAAGGAGGGAAAGCCTCAAAAAGTAATTGCAAAAGAAGTTGGATGTTCCCAAAGTGCTGTATCAAAGCACATTAATAGAAAGTTATGTGAAAGGGGAAAGTGTGGAAGAAAAAGGTGCACAAGCAGCAAGGATGACCGCAGCCTGGAGAGGATTGTCAGGAAAAGGCCATTCAAAAGTGTTGGGGACTTTCACAAGGAGTGGACTGAGGCTGGAGTCAGTGCATCAAGAGCCACCACACATAGACGGATCCTGGACAGGGGCTTCAAATGTCGTATTCCTCTTGTCAAGCCGCTCCTGAACAACAACATCAGAAGCGTCTTACCTGGGCTACAGAAAAACAACTGGCTTGTTACTCAGTGGTCCAAAGTCCTCTTTTCTGATGAGAGCAACTTTTGCATCTCATTTGGAAACCAAGAACCCAGAGTCTGGAGGAAGAATGGAGAGGCACACACTGCAAGATGCTTGAAGTCCAGTGTGAAGTTTCCACAGTCTGTGTTGATTTGGGGAGCCATGTCATCTGCTGGTGTTGGTCCACTGTGCTTCATTAAGTCTAGGGTCAATGCAGCCATCTATCAGGAGATTTTGGAGCACTTCATGCTTCCTCCTGCAGACGAGCTTTATGGAGATATTGACTTCATTTTCCAGCAGGACTTGGCACCTGCCCACTCTGCCAAAAGCACCAAAACCTGGTTCAATGACTGTGGGATTACTGTGCTTGATTGGCCAGCAAATTTGCCTGACCTGAACCCCATACAGAATCTATGGGGCATTGCCAAGAGAAAGATGAGAAACATGAGACCGAACAATGCAGAAGAGCTGAAGGCCGCTATTGAAGCATCCTGGTCTTCCATAACACCTCAGCAGTGCCACAGGCTGATAGCTTCCATGCCATGCCACATTCAGGCAGTAATTGCTGCAAAAGGGGCCCAAACCAAGTACTGAGCTTATACTTTTCAGAGGTCTGATATTGTTCTATGTACAATCCTTGTTTTATTGATTGCATGTAATATTCTAATTTTCTGAGATTGTGGATTTGGGATTTTCATGAGCTGTAAGCCATCATCATCACAATTATGACAAATCATGGCTTGAACTATCTTGCTTTGCATGTAATGAGTCTATCTCATATATTAGTTTCACCTTTTAAGTTGCATTACTGAAATAAATGAACTTTTGCATGATATTCATCTGTATACAGTTTTTGTCATTTTCAAACATTATTTAATATTACATCCAGCTTTTCCTTACCATTTAATTGTATTCCAAGCCATACTTTCCCAGTAATAAAACAATATTCTTTCAAGTGTGTGTTCACAAACGTATTTTCCTCTTCATCCTTGATAGTCAGAAGATCTGCAGAAGGATCTAATAATAAAACATTTATCTTAAATGAGGAAAATCTGATTTATTTAAATGTCCAAAAGAAATTATTTAAGATGTTATCTGAAATAATATTGAAAAATAACACTTTAACCCAGAAAAGAAACATATAATTTAGACATACCAAGTTTCTTGCAAATTTTCCTAGCTGTGTTTCCAGTATATGTGGAATAATTATAAAATGCCATATCAAATGCGTAGCAATAATCTTTGTAGTATAGCCATTGTGATGCTTCATTAGGAGAGTCTGGACACTTTGATGATGTTTCGGTTTGCTTTAATTGCACTTCTGTGAAAACAAAATAGCATAATCAACTTTATTCAAATATGAACATTTTCTGCTCAGTCAATTGACAGTTTTAGTACTGTTCAAAATATAAATAAAGCAAGGTTCTAAATATGTTTGCTAACAAGTAATAGCACATCTTCATGGAAAAAGTGTTTTAACTCTTAGGAAGCAATAGCTATAGCAAGGAATGAAATGCATGCATTGGTTCTGACTTTCTTTCCCCTTCTTACAAGGCAAGATGGTACTGCCCAGAATTGGCTCTTAACTCTTTGGGCTTCCACCCAAATGAATATATTGCTATATCTACCCATCCGGGGGGTGGGGGTGGGGTGGGTGGGTGGGAGTGGGTGGGTGGGTGGGAGAGGAATGATACCAATAACCCAGAAAATCTTTTCTTTAGTAACTTAAGGGTACTTTTTCGTAAGTGACTTGAATTAACAGCAATTTAGGGAACAATCTAGCCGTTAGTTAAGGCTGTGCAACCACTTTGACTTAATAAATGTCTGTCCTGAGCCCATGAAGTGATTTACACAAAAATCTCTGCACAAAAAGGGAATGGAGATGACAACTAAATCTAGCCTGAATCCCTTACGGCTTGAATCTTTTGCATACCTACAAAAGGCCAACCTGTGAAAATCATGGGAAGATTTGGAATCATAAGCACGTTAGCAACAGCACTACAAACATTTCCATGAATTCAAATAAACAGTCATATACTTCACATTTAAGTCATACGTAGGAAAAATATGTTGGTTAGTAAAACTGACTCTAGGTTAGGCAAACGTAGCTAGTACGGAATTGCATGAGGTAAAACTGGGTTGTGCTGATGGCCTATTTGCCAAAAAGGGCTAGAGCTCTCCATACTATTAGCAAGTTTAAACAAATTTAATAGTAGTAATAGTCATAGGCACCTTGGGTGCAATGCCAAAACAACAGGAGCACTATTTTATTATCACTGGCAAATTCACCACCAGCCAATTGCAAAAGGCAGCTTTTACTCAGGACAGCTTACATTCTGTGACGATGCCTCTAACACCATCAAATAACAACACCTGCCTATCAGAGGTCCTTGGCAAGATAAAAACGCCAAATCCAGTCTGAATATTTGGCTGACTGCGATGAACCATCATCTTATGAAAAAGTGTTACACGAAAGCCTCAGAGGTGACTTTCCAACCCCATTTCCGTATAGAGCATTGCAAGACCACCTCTGAGGAAGAGTAGCAGGAACTCCACTATTAAGGAGGAGCAAAAGGAGGCAACTGGCCACTTGAACAATTCATCACAGTTGGCAAATCTCAATAAAAATTAAGTATTAAAACCAACTGTTTTTGGTTTCCTTTACAATTTTTTAAAAAATTCTGTGCCATGTCCCTTTAGGCAGCCTGAAAATAAGACCCACCTTATTTTTATTATGCTCTAGGCCAGGGGTGTCAAACTCTAAGGCCTGTGGGCCAGATCTGGCCTGTAGGGTGCTTAAATCTGGCCTGTGGGGCCAGCCTGGAAATAGCAAAAGACCGGTCCATGGTGCCTCTGGCAGCCAAAACATAGAATACTTTATTGGCCAAATGTGATTGGACACACAAGGAATTTATCTATAATAAATTTATATATAATAGCACAGGGGGCCTCATGTGCCCCTGATTTTGGCCACAAGGGTTCTGCAAGAGGCCGGCCGTCCCGACTCCACCCCCTGCAGAGAACTGCAATGCTAATCTGGCCCTTGAAGAAATCCAGTTGACACCCCTGCTCAAAGCACTCTGCAAGCTGAAAACTACTATCTTGCCATGCTATCTGGTTAAGATCTGCTTACCACTAAGGAATTATATTCAGTATGGAAAGGAGAAAATGCCCATTATTTTGTGTTATAGTTTCTTAGGTGGAAAAGAATCAAATGATGTAGGAATATATGCTTACTATTTGAAGAAAAGTAGCAGATAGCACCATCGCCTTGAGAGGTGCATTTCCTGCGATTCCAAATTCCTTTGGTGTCCATAGCAAAACAATTTCCAAAAGTATGAGAATGCTGATATTCCCAAGGCTGGTATTCAAACTGGCTTCCATCAGACCACTCAAAATCAGAATCATTTCCCTAGGGAAGGTGCAACTTTGTTGATCAATACTGATGGTACACTTGTTTTTAGCAAACGCTAGAGAAAATGGTTATGACTTGAACAGATGACAAATTCAGACTCTTTTTCTTAACATTCTTTTCTAGTATACACCATAACACATGAACTCAGTTGTGCTTGGCTGTATTCTGAGAAGCAAGACCTCAGGGACTCGTTTACTCAGCAATACTAGTGCAATTAGCAAGTATGTTAATGAGTAGCACGGAGATTCAAGGTCCCAACCGTGAGCAGCTCCACATGGGCTGAAAAGCCAACTCATTGCTCTCCTTCCAAGGCAAACAGCAAATAGGAGATGCTTAGCTATGTCTTATGGAGTAGGGTAAAGCATTTTATTATCTTACTGATTAAGTCCTGGGTCAGAAAATGTTTTTTCCTCCAATTTTGTAATCTCTGCAAAATAGCATAATAGAATGAGCGGAGGCATAAAAGCCTTAGCTTCTCTAGCAGAGATGTTGTGGTCCTAAACCCAAACAGAGTAACAAGATGTATTCATTTTAATCATAAAAGGTTACAATAAGTTTAGGATGGCTGTCAGTAAATTCTAAGAGTGCTCAAGCAGAATGCCATGTTTTTATGGGCAGAAAAAGTCCATAATGAGCCCATGTAATATTAATGGAAGGTAGCTGTCTATCTTTACCGGTTCCAGGTTGACTCATCCTTCCAAGGTCAGTAAAATGAGGACCCAGATTGTTGGGGGCAATAAGCTGACCCTGTAAACCATTTAAGAGAGGGCTGGAAAGCACTGTGAAGCGGTATATAAGTCTAAGTGCTATTGCTATTCCCTATTGTCTAATAATTTGCTGATTATTCTGATTTTGAGATTTTAAGTTTAATGACACTTTAAATGTTTTTAATGCTATGAAATCCTTCGAAGGATGGATTACTATTGTGACTTGTCAAGAGATCTGTGAAGTGAGGAGCATACAATATTGTAAAATAATTAAGAAAAAATATTTTCAAATAGTGCAAGCCATAGAAAATACACTACTTTCCAAATGTGGATTAGTGAGTAAAGGCCTCCTCTGGAGAACTTATTAACGAGGCAACCCTGTATGGAAAAGTTTCTCAGCACAGTCTCCATCTGGCAGTCAGATTGAGACTTCAGATATAGAACTAAGCAGCTATACATTATTCTCTCCTGACCAAATATACAAAGCCCATGACATGATTTTTAATTTTTTGAAAAGCAATAACGAGTTGTCTTCTGCTCATTTCCATCTTCCTGAGTAAAGCACTCCCCCTCACATGGGTGTGTCTCTGGGTTTGGATGTTTGTATATGGGTATTGTCAAGACTGGTGTTGGCAAAGTTAACTCATCCTTTCCCAGCTATGACTGCCCCCCCCCCCCATCAGATATGGTTCACCATAGAGGGTGGCAAACTTTTGAAAGCTCCCCATTGAACTTAAGGAAGGAGGCAGATTTAGTAACTTTAATTAGTGTATGGAAATACTCTACGCTCTGGAACACAGACTGAAACTTGAACTGCATGAGCATAGAACATTAGTTGTGAGAAAAACTACAGTTTATGAAACATGTTTGAGTAGTAACATGAAAAGGATTGGGTAAAATTGGATACAGTTTGAAGCCTGAAGTCAGAAGATCAAAATTATTTGGTGGTTTGATTCTATGATAAGAAACCAAATATAAAAGAACGAAGCATAAAAGATGGAAGTACAAAAATGGAGAACACGAATACTTAGGCATTGGTAAACAGATCTAAGATTCTGTCACATGTGAAAAATAAGCTAGAAATCTCTGATTCAACTTACATTATGATTAGATAAACCAATCCACAATGGAAATCCATCACGCTTTACAATATCTTCCAAAAAGAGTTGTTCGGAAATACTGTGAATGCTGGCTAAATCACTTCCTTTCTGTTTGCATTCTTTCCATGCCTCATACCAATTGAGCTGTTGCCGAAGAATCCAGTAAACATTGTTTTTGTAGGGCAGCTTTGTAGGAAGCGGAGGTTGGCTGATTTTGGGCTCTAAAGACAAGGAATGAATTACACGTTGCTTTGCTGTATCTGCTGCATAAGGGAAAAAATCAGTGGAATCTGAAATTCAGTCCAAGAGATCTTTCTTACCCAGGTCTAGCTTGCAGACCAGGAGGCTGTGAAAACCAAATTGCCAATATAACCAGTTATTATGCGAATGATCGTAAATGTCCCAGAAGCCATCCACGTTAACGCCGGCAAGAAAGAAGTTACTCTTGATGTTAGGCCGCCCATTTCTCCAGTTGTTGTAGGACACGTATGTGTCATCATACCACTTCAGGTTACCTGCAGAGGAAAAATATAGGATTTTGGAGGGGAAATAAGGAATACCAAGAGACATCAATGGCATTTGAAAATTTGAAAGGACTGAACCTCCCCCCCACAACACACACACACACACACACACACACACCTTGGCAACATTAACACAACTTGAAAGGGCAAAGGCCAATAAAAATCAGGAGTCCTGACCATTTAATTTACAGGTAGCCCTCAATTTATGATCACAATTGAGCTCAAAATTTATTTTGCTAAGTGAAACATTCATTAAATGAGTTTTGCTTCATTTTATAACCTTTATTGTCACAGTGAATCATTACAGTGGTTAAGTTATTAACATTGTTGTTAAGCAAATCCGGCTTTCTTGTCAGAAAGTCACAAAATCCAATCACATGACACCCCCCCAGGCACTGCAACTGTTATAAATATGAATCATTTGCCAAGCATCTAAATTTTTATCCTGTGATCAAGGGGATGCTGCAATAGTCATAAGTCAGTTTTTTCACTGCTGTTGTAACTTTGAACTGTCACTAAATGAACTGTTGTAAGTTGAGGACTACTCATAGTAAGTGTATAGTTGCCAAAGGATTTGGAAATAAAGGATCATTACATTTGAATTATTTTTAAATTGCACTTCTAACACTCATAGAAATGTTAATTATTTTTAGAAATGCAACTTAATTACTATTTATCCATCTAGCCCACTTTTAGGCCACTATTAGAGTATGCAATCATAAACATAGTCTTAAATAAGGGTAAAACATTTTAAAATAAACTGACTTTGGAGAATTGTTCCATTCACTCCCAGTTGACAATTTTAACTAAAATAAAATTAACATTTTCTGATTACCATATAATAAAGGAAACATTGAACTTTTTACACATCAAGGTTCTGCAAATAATATAAAATTATTGTAGTCTCTAAATTCAGAAAGCAAGAGCCAATAAATAATTTCCAACATACCGTCAGTGTCATGAGTCAAACCCAACCACATCCACTGAACAAAGCCACTGAAAGACTGAAACTGTTCAAGAATAAAATCATTTTCATCTTCATCCCTGATACTCAAAAGAGATGCATTTGAATCTGTTGAAACAATTAAAAAATAAATCATGAAATGAACTTAGAGAACTTTATAACGCTATCTTTTTGAAGATTTAAGCAAAGGATCAGATCTGAGAAGCACTGCCCACATGAAAAGAGATCTTAAAGTCATTTTATTGTATCATGGGAATAGCAAATTCCATGTTAGACAAAGTTAAGAAACAATAATTAGGACTCTCAATATGTGTAACATAGATATGTACAGCTGGAAAAGATGGAGAGACCTGAAGTGTTTTACAAGGAACGTTTGATTAGGAACTTTCCTAAGAAAAATAATAGAGCTTGAAGCAATGATTAAAGAGGATTATATTTCCAAAACATGAGAAAGAATATGTTCTGTTCCCAACCTCCACAATTTAATAACATTCAGTAGGAAAAGAATGGGAGAAAATTCTGCAGGTAATTAATACGTGGAATTCCACGCCAGAAGATGGAGCAATAGTTCATAGAAATTTAAAATGCAGTGCAGTTCAGGGGAAATTCACAGATAAAAAGCCGTCAGCTTTATTCATTACAGGTAGATATGGCCTCCATTTGACAGAAGTGAATCAACAGCAGAGGTGCTGTTGAAGTGTGCATAATTTGGCTGCAGGAATTGTCCTGCCAGTCTTGGAAACAGGATGTTGAACTAAATGATTATTCTTACAGTTCAGCAGTTTTGGCTTCATTTTTTTATACAAATATTATATTTCATTAAATATTGAACTTGGAAACTCTTCAAGAAGCCTCTTTCTTAAGTGAGAAGAAAAGTGGGTGTTTAAGAAGTCATTTCTTTTAGTCATAACCAGCAAGAAAGGTTAATGTTAACAAAATATATAAGCTGATTAACAATTACTTTTATTATGTCAAAGGACGATCCAGTGGGTCACAGGATATTCTAATATTATACAAACATACATTCTCTAAACAGTAACATTAAAAGAAAATATGAGGACCCTTTTCCATGTATTGCCCAGTTGAAAATCGACAGTTTTGCATGTAACAAGTTACAAATACAGTAAAATTAAGATGCCTCAAGTCCAAAAATGTTCTTCATAAAAGTCTTTGAACACACAAAAAATCAGAATTTTAAAGAGGAACAGCTTACTCATTTTCATGCATGTATGTTTAGCTTCAACTGCTTTCAATCCTCTCCATCTATTTTGTGGTATTAAAAATGTGTAACAACTGTTTTGATATGCTATCCATGGCATATTCTTAACCTGGTGTGGGCATTTAATTGATCCAGGATATGCTTCTTGGGTTTCAGTATCATCTGAAAAATAAACCCTTTTTAAAGGCAGTGCTTAATATCTAAAATACATTCAGTGTTTAATACTACAATACAACTTTCATCAACTTAGAATTACTGGATGCTGGTCATTAATGATATCATTTTGTGGACAAAGAAAACAAACAAACAATAAATCTGGTTACCAGGAATGAAAATGCAAAATAAGAAGGATCAGAATGTTAAAATTCATCTTATAAAAAAATAAAGGTAATCAATATTATTTATCCTTCTCCAATAGACAGAATGGCATTTGGGCCAAGGGCATTTACTAAATATGATGGTTTGAAAGAGATGAGAATCACTTGTGTTTCCTTTTCTTTAGATACACAAACGTGTTCTTTCTATCTCTCTCTCCCTCCCTGCCTCCTTCCCTCCCACATTCTACCTAATCTCAGGCCAACCCACCTCACAAGATGGTTGTTGTGGGTAAAATAGAAGGAAGGAAATGTCATGTATATTTGCCACTGTGAGTTACTTAGTAAGTAATAAAGTGGGGTTTAAAAAGCTAAACTGATAAAATAAATAATCTTTTCTAAATGTATTCTCATTCTTTTTTATATCTATAACTTTGCATTCCTTAGGTACCGACTTCCGATGGAAGGAAATCCAAGGAAATCCACAATCAAGAAGTTGGTGACACTATTGTGATAAAAGCCCAGCCCCTTTGTATGTGCATGTATAAAAGGGTGAGCTCTGATTGGTCTGCCTCAACTGCCATCTTGACTTTTATGACATAAGCCTAGCCCACCAAAAGCCACTGTTTTAGTATTTCTCAGGCTAGCTAGATTTGTTATTTACTTGTTTTCTGCTGTATGCTCACAGACCAAAAGTTAACCCAGAAATCAAAACAAGCAATTTTACAAAGGCAAGAATGATAAGAAACAACCTGCCTTCATAAACTAGCATATCTATCAACACATAACTTTTTCTAAGCCTAAATCAGACCAAACACTTTCTAATAGCAATGGTGAGGGGGTAAAATGTTACAACTTTGTCATATTTTGCAAGACTGATCCCTTTTATAAAAAGCATTAAGCCCAAATATTCGCTAAGAAGGGGAAAGGTTAGTGTTTTGATGTAAATGTACTGGAATCTAACAGTTGAGCAGGTTGGACTTTTTGTATATATTAGAGGATGAGCTCTGTTCTTTTTAGGCATCTATAAAATAGTTAACTGATATGTGTGGATATATATGAGTGGATATAGTCTGATTCATTGGCCATTATATGAAGTGGCTCACAAATGTGTGTGACCAAGGTCTCCAATAAGAATAACTTATCTTCAGAGCCTTTGTTTTGGAGCTGTGTGGGAGATAAGAATTGTTTTCTCTGGAACAGCTGCCTCCGCCTTTCCCATTCACCACCATGTCTGTTTCCTCCTTCACAGGAGTCCTTAAGACTCCTTTTCAAGGTCTTTGGGGCCTTCTGAGAAGGTTAGAATCAGATTGGCCTTGGCTGGAACACAGCAGATAAATTCTAATCCGTTGTACTGGCTCCCCTTCTCCCCCAAAAGTAAATTCTTCCTCTGAGCGTGAATATATTTACAATATAGAGCCTAAACCTGATAGCAAGCTGAGTTAGTCTCAACACCTTTATCCTGGGGAACAAGGAGGCCTGAGCAGAGAATACACTGTGTCAAAATACTGAAAAATGATTCACCATTGCAACCATATCTAACATTAATTCATACATACACAGCATTCAAGATATTACAACTTCTGATTTATGAGGAAAATGATGATAAAAAAAATTGGCAGAGAAGTGGAGTACAGCTTTATTTTAGAGAAGGTAGACCCCTTAAAACTTATTCTACATTCAAAAGCCAAAAAAGTGAGTGACTGGCAGCCAGTAAGAATTATGAAAGCACTGGTGGGTAGCTGTGTAATTTTAAGTACAGGTAGTTCTCAATTTACAACCATTCACTTAGTGACCATTCAAAGCTACAAATGCAGTGAAAAAAGTGACTAGTTTTCGGAAGCTTGGCAAATGATTCATATCCATGACGGTTGCAATCTCCCAGGTTCATACGATTGATTCCCTTTTGCAACCTTCTGACAAGCAAAGTCAATGGGGAAGCCACATTCACTTAACAACCGTGTTACCAACTTAACACCTGCAGTGGCTCACTTAACAAGTGAGGCAAGAAAGGTCATAAAATGGAGTAAAACTCACTTAACAAAATGTTTTGCTTAGAAACAGAAATTTTGGGCTCAATTGTGGTTGTAAGTCAAGGACTACCTATACATATATAATACAAAGTAGTTTATTTTCTATTGTATATTTTTTTGTACCTATACGTATATTTTCATTTTTACTTTACGGGCTTAAAATATTTTCAATGCAAAACTGTAGACTCATGACATATAGTAATAAAAGAAGCCCTACTTCCGGGTAAGTAACAAACTGCTCCTGGTTTTTCTGTATAACATTCAGATGTTTTCCAAAATCCATCTGTGTCCAAATACACACAGTCACCAAGCAAATCTTTGCCTTCTTCAGACCAACGACTGAAACTAATGTGTTTTTCATCTGACCAGTGATAATGTATTCCATCCTAGAAAACATCAGAAAGCAGAAAGATAAGCTGCATAAAACGAATTATTAACCTGTTCTGGAAGCTATGACAAGAAATCATGAACTTAAAATTCAAGCAAGTGGTTTTCGGAATGGACACCAGGAAAAATATAACAAAAATATGGAAGTCAACTTTGCCAAATTGGCAGCTTAGAAAAACAAGAACTCAGGGGCCAGTGGATTCTGTAAATTTAGTAAGAGATTAATTGTTTTTGGAAGTTTTTATATTTAAGCTGGAATATGATACTTCCTGCATTGTTCAACACATCTTCTTACATAGACTTTTAACTGGATAATATGAAAGCTAGTTTTTTTCCATATTCCCTATGATCTCTGCCCTTAAAAGAGGGGGAAATATATCAAATATTAAATTAAAACCCTCAAAGTGATGCAGCATAAACTTTGCCACGTTTAATATAAACGTCTAAGTCATTTTATTTGATATGCATTCTGCCCAAAAAGGAAGCACATGCAGTACTCTGGTGTGTCTCCATTTTAGTCTCTGGGCAGATTCTGAACAGAATCTCAAAACAATTCAGATCAAATAGTGTTGCTTTTGAATCTTAAATCTCATATTGGATTTAAATCTTAGCACTATCAAACCTTGGAACAAAACCAGATTTTAGCTGATTTGCACATCCTTATTAAATACATTGATTTGTAATTACTGTTATTTATTTTAGTTTAGGCAATGGCTGAAATATGCACTAAAATGCAATACAAGACAAAAACAAGATTGGAATCCTGTCACTTAATGCATAGAGTGGAAAGCACATCTGACAAGGGTTCCATCCATCTTAACTCAAGCCTGGAAGAACTACCAGGTCTCCAAGAGCTTACAGAATGTCAACAGGGTGGAGCCCCACATATTCCAGAGGGTAGGTATCTATGACAGAGAAGGTGTACTTCCTGGTTCTCCATAGATGGCACTATCTAATCAAAGGAACCTGGAGTGGGCCAATACTGTTTTGGCATCCTGAAGCCAACATCAGGATACTTCATTTCAAGAGTATCAATGGAAAAGATGCTCTAATATCCGAGCCATTCAGCATAGTAAGATTGAGTTGGTGTTTTCTTCTCTCTATCTAGGCCTCAACAGCCTTCCAAGCATTGAGATAGGATCGTAACAGTCTTACTTGGCTGATCTGGGGTTGAGGGAAATAATTGGGTATCATAAGCATATTAATGATATTGAACCCCAAATCAGCAGATAATCTCATCCAGCAGCTTCACATAGAAAGGTACACTCCTCTACCTGATGAGTTATAGCAGTGCGGGATTTCACCTATTTAGATATCTCCATCCAGGAAGCATGGCCAATTTGCTGGTTGGAAAGCTGAAGATAGTAAGACTTTATGGAGACTTGAGGTATGAAGTATTTATCTGACAGGTACCATTTTGGGTAAAATTGTTCTTGAACAATGTGGACATTCCCATGATGCTAGATTTGAAAGTTTTTTTTTAAAAAAAAAAATGCACTGTAGAACTATTTAAAGGAGCAAAAAGAATTTATCGCCATTGTTGAGACATTCTAAAAAGGTATTCATGAGACATGTATCTGCAACACGGTTCAGCGCTCTAAATAGCCGTAGTGCTCACATTTTGGAGGTATTATTTAAAGTGTATTTTATCATTTTATCATATGTCCAATATTTTTTTATTTCAAGAGTACGTTTGAAAGGGAAAGCAAAGCCTTACATCATTGCTAGTGAGCCCAATCCAGAGCGAGTGATTATGGAGAGCCACCTGAGAAGCAAGAAATGCCTGTTGATATTGTTCTGTAATGCTAACCAGCCTCATATTGCTCTTCAGGCATTCTTCCTGGGCATCAAACCACGTCAACGTCTTCGGAATTATGGTATAGGTCACATTTAGATATTTCATGGTACGTTCAGGAACTTGTATTGTCTGGTTTTTTACAGAATCTACAGAAGAAGAAGCAGCACTTGAAGAGAAGGAATGAAGTAATACACAATAAAGAATTTCATTTTCAAGAACAGTGTTTTCCCTTCAGGGAATTGATCGAACTTTCAAATACATTTTGGAGCACATTGTATTTTGGGCAACTTAATAAAAAATAGGGGATTTTCAGTCATCCAGGTCAGGGGTCACCAACCTTTTGGACATCAGGGACCACTAAACTCATAATTTTAAATCCCAGGGACCACTAACCGGTTCTGTGGCCATGGTCTAATATCCTAAAAAGCTTTCCTTTTGGGCGTAAGAGGAAGAATATTTCTCCCTCGTTCAAGAAGGTGACATTCAAGATTGTACCAGGAAGCTTTCAAAAGTAAAACATTGTATGGAAAGCCAGTAGTACAGTATTACATAATAGCTCTTAGCCAAGAAAACATTTAATTTGGGAATTACTTTTAAAGTAATTAAATCTTACCACAGAAAGTGAGCTATTTAAAAAAAATTTTTTTAGATCTTTACCATCCAGCTCCCTAATGTGGATCCAACAAGGTCAGGAGATTTACAAGTGGATCTTCTAATATTAAATATTTTATGTGCTGACTGTACTATCTGACCACCGAAAATGCCACTTAGTGAAAAGCTGGTATTTCAAACCTTTATTTCTCTACTTCACGTACCTGGATCCTTCTGACATATGGCCAAAGGCAAAGTATCAAGACAAGAAGTAAAATTCCAAGTTCCTAGATAAGCTTTGGGATTATTGAGCAAAACACCACACTGGTTACTCTCTTCCTCATTAAATACCTGGGGGGGTGGCGGGGTGGAGAGAAATATGACATTATATTATCAGTGCTGGCATGTCTCATAAACAAATATGATTGAAACCCTTGATACAATGATATTAAACAGTAATGTTTGGAGGTATTGCTAAATTATACATCTAGCTCTCATGTGTGTAAAACAGACTTGTCAACATACTCATAGTATCTCCTTTATTCTTACATAGCTACTGGAATGAGATTAGGGTCTTGGTTGTAAAGTTATTGCAGTATAATGTTCTCCCTAGTAGTGGTGGGGAAAATATGCTGAAATCAAAATGAACAGCAATTTTGAGTATTCTAAGTTCAAAATAACACATTCCATGTTCTAGAAATGTTCCATCTTCGATCCCACCATTACTGGCAATTTTAACTAATTAATGAAGTAAGGTAATGACCTGCCTGCCTATTATGGGCAACAATCAGGAAGGGAAAGCTTTGATGGAGTGAGAATTGGCACCATTTACCAACTGCAGACCTGAAGGAATATGAAACACTGATTGTATAACTGCATCCCAAGCAGGAAACAGCAATTTTTCTTTATCAAGCAAAAACATACAATCCCTGCTTCCTCCACCTGACTCCTTCTCAAGGAGAAGCTAAGGCATCCATGGTATGTTCTTACAAGCCAAGGGAATAAGCAATAAGTTTCCCTTTTGGCTATCAATGTTGCCCAACAATAGATCATCTGTCTGATAACCAGGGTCCTGCATGAAGTTTTGTCTAAAACAGGGGACATGATAGCACCCAGGTGTTCACATTGGACACTAACTTGGTAGAACACCTGATTTCAAGATCACTCTCCCACTGCTGGACTTTTCCAACCCAGCCAGTGGAACTATCTGAAGACTCCCCTTTAATCATCCTTGAGATTCTTTGGCTGGCAAGCCCTTTGCCTATGAATTTCATTCATTAAAGATTCTTTTATTAAAAATAATAATAATTGGCTCCAATTCTTCCCTTTTACAATTTTGTTGTAGGGTAGACAGAACATAGCACTAGTGTGGACTATTGCTCCATCCACTTTTGTGGCTCTGAAATAAAATGAGAGCACAAGCGACCTATTTGGTATTCTCCTACAGTGTTACCTCTCAAAATATTTTGAGCTTAATTCTGATTTCAGGTTGAGCTTAATTCTGACTTCAGATTAAATTTTTGTTTGCTTCTTGAACAGCTCTGGGGTCGGAATCCAAACCTTCAGTCTTAATTATAATTTACAGAAAGCATCCATTTCACACCATGATTTGTGAAGCTATCTTGTCACAAAATAAAAATAAAAAAAGAAGTGACCAAAAGATTTTGTTTGGATTCCATCTAAGTCAAAAATATGAACTCACAGAAAAGAAATGACTGTTACTTTTGGTTTTTTAAGTTACACTTTCTTCCCTGTCATTATAATGAGATTAAAGCAAAAACTGATGATTATAGGTCCACATAATAACCAATGAGCATAGGAAAGATCCACATTATTCTCTCGGTAAAAATATGGGAGGTTGTGCCATCACCTGCTTTTTATTATTTTTTCATTTTCTTAGCTTAGTCTAATATTCTCCCATTCCACTCAGCAGGGCTGACCCTGGTTAGCTTTTCCAAGATCAGCCCCAGTTGACCAGGTCAGCGGTCCCTAAGTTTTCCAGCTTGGCAAACCAGCTGGGGAGAGGGGTGGTTCAGTGCAAGTGGTGGATGCCTGCGCATCCACCACTTGCGCAAATACAGCTTTGTGTGTACGCCCTTGTGCTTACCGCATGCACAAGTGAAGTTTTGCATGTGCACGCACTTGCCCACTGCTTGTGTGGCCCAGTTCCAAATGGGCCATGGCCCAGTAGTGGGCTGCGGCCTGGGGGTTGGGAACCTTTGGACTAGGTGATGTTACCTACTGTGACTTATAATTAAGCTTGTGATTAAAATCATATTTCCTATGCTGCTGTCACAATTACATCACAAGCAATACTTAACATAATATAAATGATCCAATCTTATACCTAAACTTCTGAAGAAGGCATCCAACTACAAACAATATATTCAAAATGGATGGGATAAACTTTTCTATTTTCAACTTCCCATCTCTCCTCTACCTTAAATTAGTAAAAGCAAAACTTTTTTCTGCTTTAAATAAATGACAGGGAGAACCTACAGTGTAAAAACAGTATCAATAACTTACATGAAACTGAATTTTTTTTAGCCTTCCTTGAAGCAAAGGATGGAAATTGACATAATCTAAATCACTGTCATCAGTCCACTTGTTTACATGCATATGTATTTGGGAACGTAAACCAATCCAAATCTTTGGGGGCAGACCAGGGAGTAAGGATGTTATAAAGTCTGTTGGGAAGATAAATATTTGCATATTAGGATTAAACAGGTAAAGGAATTCACTGGCAGATAAGGGCAGTCCATAAAGTCAAGACGGCAACAATAACTCAATAGAATATAAATTGGTTTTATTTATAAATTACATTATTTTGTCTATTTCTAACCCCCCCACTACTATTCCAGGATTAATGCAATTGATGCATTCAGTAAAACAGCAGGATGCTCTATTAATTGGTCCAAATTGGAAGTGTTGCCAATTGGTGAAACTGGGGGTACCCAGTCATATATCAGTTCAGTTACACAGAAAAGATCTGTGTAAGACAGCATTTTATTGGAGTTGTAATAAGAGTAATGCTTCTTTAAAACACCTATTTTTTCAATGTCCTATACTAACTAAATCTGGGGAGGAAGTATTGGACTATATTAATTTGACTGGCTGACAAAAGTTAAATTTTTCAGAATATGTAATTTTTCTCTTTAATTATATACTTCCTACGTACATGGAATCTGAAAACTGGACAATGTAAATTGATTCTCTGTGCCCTTACTTTGGCCAAATCACTGATATTGGAAGATAAATGTATGGCCTCATTCACTCAATGGATTGGAAACCTGATTGCATTTGCCACCAATGGGGCAATTTCCTATAGACACAGACTTTAAATGGACTTTGTATAATAAAATATGGAACTCATTTATACAAATTACAGTAGCAAAAAAAGAATGGTCATTATATAAGTGTATCAGAAATAAGTATGTACCTGAACAATATTTACATTAGATAAGATCGATCGATCTATCTATCTATCTATCTATCTATCTATCTATCTATCTATCTATC